CTGTGCTCAGCAGGCCAGACTGTTTTTGCCAGGCAGTAATGGAATCATCTCTTCCAGTGCGCTGACCTCTCCAAGCCCAAGGTGTGGGGAAGTGATTGCGTCTGGGAGCAGTGTAACCCTGTCCTCTGCGACGTCTGACACTTTCACCTTGTCCTGTCCCCTCTGCCTGGCCCTCTTCTTTATTATGCCCACACACATGCTTAATGCTGTCTCCTAGCTTTGTTTCCACGACGCAAGCACCGCCAGTCCCTGGAGCCTGTGGGATACAGACGCTGTGTCCTCTGGATACTTTCCAAACTTCCCTTTCTTTTCCGGGCCAAGCCCCAGCACTGTCGCCTAATTAGTGCAGTGGAGGCTCACTTGAGGTCCTCATCGCCCGTACCTGGGCTGGTGCATGAAGACAGTTGTCAGCTTTGCATTTTCCCTCCACCAGCTATCCCCACACTGTGTTCAGGAAGCGCCCAAGCCAGAGTTCTGCCCCTGCTCGCAGGCTAATTGACTCCCCTGGCAGAAATAAGATAAATCAGTCTCTCTTGAATTGTCCCGCAGCCCTTAAACCTCCAAGCTGATGAAACTGGAATTAAAATTTGAGAGAGGCCCAGGATAACTGTTCAGATTAGATTTTTTGACTTGAGTGAGGAAGGAGATGGCCTTGTGGAACCTTAAGCACTGTTTTCCTTGTGGCAACTTAACTCTTAGGTCTGTTGAGACCCAAGACTCACCTGGAAGTTGAGAGTGGGCCTGGAAGTTCTCCTGGGGTCTGCTCCCCCAGTTTGGTCTTCTTCTTCCACCTCAAGCACTGAACATGAACTGTTCCATTCCCGAGGCCAGCAGTACACTGAGGCCACTTTACCTGTGGGTGCATTTTTGTGTGTTATGTGTGTGTATAGGTATGTATGTATTGTGTAACTACGATATATATATGTATGGTGTACACACTGGCAAGTATGACTTCGAGCACACATGGAGGACAGAAGAGGCCTAACCCTTGTCACTTCTTACATTATTCCCTTGAGATAGGGTCTCTCACTGAACCTGGGCACAGTTTCCTGATCCACAAGCAACAGTGATCCCTATGTTTCTGTTCCCTACCCCCACAGCATTGTGGTTACAGGTTTGTGTGGCCACCTTTAGTTCTTTTACTTGGGTGGTGTATGGGGTTCAAACTCAAGCCATCAAACTCGGCCAGTGCGTGCTAACCCACTGAGCCGTCTCTCCAGCACCACGGGTAGACGGTGATCTAGAAATTCTTAAAGATGAGAGACCCTTTGTGGTAGCCTGTTCCGCTGTGCCTCATGGTGCTTAATCCCCATGATAAACCAGGCCTATACCCTTATCAAAGGACTCCAGAAATATCTTTGCCTACTCACAAAGAAGCCCAGAAATTCAATCTTGTTTTTACCCATACTGGGCTGAGGTTTGACCACTATTAATGGTGGTAGTTCTACTATAACATCTTAACTATATGTCAGTATCCCATTCAGCTCTTGGTTCCTTGAGGGCTGTGCTTCCTTCAGAGGCTCTGTCCATTTGAGGTTCCCAGCGCAGCACCTGGAAGGTAACTATCAGAATGGGATTATTGAGTAAGTAAGGTTACTTCAATGAAATAATGATAGGAAGGGAGATCATTGGTTTTGCGTTCCTGTTTAAAGGTCATTTCAAGGTACTTAGGTAGTTTTACTCATAGACTATCATTTTAAATGTGCAGAGGTCAACATAACAATCAGCATGTACCCTTTGTTTGTTTGTTTTTGCTATAATGTTAGCCTGATGCATGGTGTTTATGCTCGTGAAATATGACCCATTCGAGGCCTTAATCACAATCAAGATACATATTCTTGTTTCACAATGAATTTTTCTTCCCATTTATTAATGCTCAAAATACTCTAGAGGACTCCAGTTGGACATGTTCTAGTTTCGCTCTGTTGCTGTGAGAAGCACCAGGACCAAAGCGACATGGTGGGGAGGGGAGCGGTGTTTAACTTGCTCTTTCAGGTCACAGTCTGAGGGAATTTATGCAGGAACTCAGCAGAAACTTGAAACACACACCACGGAGCAATGCTGCTTTCCAGTTCACATATAGGCTCACGCTCAGTTAGCTTTCTTATGTCACCTAGACCCACCTGCCTAGAGAATTGTCCCTCCCACAGTGGACTGTGCCATCACATATCTATAAGCAATTAAGGCAATTCCCCCCAGGGACGTGCTAACAGGCCAATCTGATTTGGGCAATCCTTCATTTGAAACTCCCACCTGGGGTGACTCTAGGCTGTGTCAAATTGATAGTTAACTAGGGGGGATTCTCAATCAAGTTTGGCTCTTTTTATATTTACTCACTTGTGAGGATGAATCAGTTTCGTGGGACTGACCCAGTCAACCTTATACCAAACATTATGTTACATTAGCATCAGTAATTTACTTGCTCAACACCATGCATCCAGGAGAAACTTGGAGTTGGAAGAGAAGTTGCATACCTATCAGGCTCATTTTTTTTCTGTGATGTTAAATCAAATCAAAACATGTTTGGCATAAGGACCCCTTTGAAAGTAGTTGTCTTCTCTAAAAGTTGCAATAACTTAGAATATGAACCATTTAAATTAGAAAAACAAAAGCAAAACCTCCATAGTCATTGAGATGCTTTATTTGAACAATGCTAAAGCCTGGAAATGGTTGCATGTTGGGTGACTAATGGGCTCAAGAATATGAAGTATTGAGCTTGAGCTTTCAGTATCAAATGTCTTATTGTTACAAATTGAATGGCTGATAGTTATTCACTTTCTCATTTAGAGTTGGAAGCCAGCTCAGTGGTCAAGAGCACATATTGCTCTCCCAGACTGTATTTGTCCAGTTCCCAATATCTGTGTCAGCTGACACATAGATACCTATAACTCGAGCTCCAGGAGATTTGATGTCCTCTGCTAGCCTCTTCAGCTACGTGCACACATGTAGAACACACACACACATACACACACACACACACACACACACACACATACCTCAATCTTTAAAGTATAGAAGACTGTAATCTCACTTAGTTTTTCCGTTTTCTGGTTCTAAACTTCTACCTTTAGAATATTATTCCTAGGAGGAGAAGAAAAAGTAAATTATTCAGGCAGCATATTTACCCAACAGTAATGAGAATAAAACACTTTTATTGAGGGATTGGTATGGTTGTTTAACACCTAGAGTGATGTATGAATGCTATAGTGTCTCACAGTGTATTTACAAAGGGGTGGGCCATAATGAATTATCTGCTTTATGAATTAGCTGGTAAAAATAATGCAATTGCTATTGAAGCTATAATGCCTCCTGGAATTTACTCTGCTTGTTTGTTTTGACAAGTGAGGTTTAGTTTTATGATGATCTTTCAGAGCACGCAAGTAAATGCCCCGTAGTCTGTTCTGAAAAGGTAATGAAGCTGTAGTGATCCGCTATCTCACTGCTCGTCCCAAACATTCAATCTTCACTTGAAAGCTGAATAAGAGTGCATGTTCACAAGAATTCTAAAGTCTATCTAAACGAGACAATCCCGCTGCAGATACTGTTTCAGCAAATCTATTCTAGTCATTATCTCAAGTGGTAAAGACAACACTTGAGGAGTGCTACTCGAAGGGCCAATGACCCATTGAATAACAACAATGAGTATTTATCAAGTGTGTTCTCCCATTCCAGACACAGTTAGGCCCTGGAAGTGCAGTGGGGGAATAAAACCAAACAAGAGGACTTACAATCTGGGGGGTCACCCAAAGGAAACAAGACCAGGAAGACATGCTATCTTCCCCTCGGTTTGTTTCTCTCTGGCTTCCCTGAGCCATGAGCCACACAGCATCAAGAACATTCTTCCTAAGATAGGAATCATGTTGAATCGCTTCTCAGATTGCATACCAAAAACATCCAAAAACAAACAAACTAAGAAGGAACAACAGCCCCTGAAGTCATTGCCAAGACCTGGATGACTTTCCCATGACACAAATCCCACATTCCATCCCACCGTTTGTAGTCGGTGGTCTCCCACATCCATCCCTGGCTCTGCTCATGCAGCTTTTGGTCACAATGTTTTACCTTCCCTTTCATCAGACACTTTATTCTTTTTCATCTCTTGGGGCTCCTTTTAAACACTTGTTTCTCAAAGAAGCATTATCTGGCAATCCTGCTTAAGGTGGTTTCCTCATAGTGTGGTTATGGGTCATTTTGAGAGTTAGGGTTTTTCCTATCCCTTGCATATGCCAATATCTTATATTGCTTTTTTTTAACTTTGTGTTTTTATTTCTTGTGTCTTAGCAATGGGATATAAACTTCATGCTGGGAGGTTCCTGTTTGTTTTGTCATTGCATTTCTAGTGCCTCATATGGTCATTCCTATAGTTTGTGTACAGAGAAATGCATTGACTGGTAGACTCTAACTAACTGAATGAGTGTAAAGGGAAAGATATGAGGACATCTATTCCATCTCCACTCCCCCTTTCTGCACATAACTCTCCACACTCCTTCCTGATCAATCCATTCCCATTATCTACCCCTCCGCAGCATACGCAAAGGGATCTTTATCAGACTCCCTTGCTGCTAGCTATTAAAGTGTCAAACCCTTCAGAGTTTTAATTATACCCAGCACATGTTCATGTTGAAATTACATTTCTATCTAGTTAGTTGTGACCTGACTAGAGATAACAAGCACCATGGTGACCAAAGCCCTGGGTGATGCTCCTACTTTTTCTGTCAAACCTGGCAGAAACTATAAGCTCTCAGTACAGATTTATGAGATGAATGGATGAACAAATGAAGGGAACCTACCTAATTCCTGTGAGGGTGTTCTTGGTGCCCTTGTTTGCAAAAGAGTCTGTGGGTCAATACCATAGCTAAATGCTCCTCAGTTCAAACTATTAAACATGGAAAAGTTGTTATTTCTTTAATTTGCACCCAAATTAGCTAAAGGTTCAGAAGAAACCTGTATCTGAGTTAGAAGTCATTTTCTAAGACTAATTATTCCTGTTCCTGCCCTAGCAAGGAGTGTATGACTCACACACCATCATGTTCACTGGAAGGCTGGCTCTCCGGTAGACTGAGAAAGAAGTTGCTGAGGTCTGTGGGACTAGAGAAGACCTGCCATGCCTAAAGATGGTCAAAATGGGAACAAGCAAATGGAAACCCAAGGTGGGATTTACCATCCAGAGACATGTGACCCAAGTGTCACATTGATAATATGCCACAAAGACATAAAGTGAGACATTATATCGCCTAAAATGGAAGGAAAGCCTGACACGGGGTGAGTGCCTAGGTCATTGTGCTTAGTTGAATAAACTGGTGACAAAAAGATAAACAACAGCACACGGTCTCAATAAGGTGTGGGATTGGTCTGATGCCATCTTAAGAACTAGACACAAGACTTAAAGCCATAGAGATAGAAAGTTGGGTGGTAGTTGTCTGGGGCTGGGAGGAAATGTGGATTTCTGTCTAATGGGTACAAATGCTTACTCAAAATCATAGAGATGGAGGGTTGAGTGGTGGTTGTCTGTGGCTGAGAGGAATTAGGACTTCATGTCTGATGGGCACAGGAGTTTCAGTTCGGCAAGATAACAAATGTTCTAGCCATAGATGTTGGAGGTGGTAACAAGATAATTTTACCACTGTTAATGTACTGACCTGTGTATTTTGACATGCTTACAGTACACACACACACACACACACACACACACACACACACTCAGAGTGACAATTAAAACAAACAAAAACACACCTGTAAAGGGGACAGCCTAGGGCAAAGCGGTATAGAACTGTCATTTATACTGGCCATGATATTCCAAGACCATATATGCAAAGAGCTGGAGGGAATACCCCAACAACACTTTCCTGCACATCTGAGAGATAAGCAGCTATGAAGAACCTAGACAATGGGGCGCAAGAGGGAATAGAAGCAGCCTGGCCTCAGTTTTCAGAGTTGACAAACAAGCACATTGAACAAGAAAGTACCTGGCAGTGACACAAAGCTTCAAAAGTTAAATGTATCCTGCAGTTCTGGTCCATTTCATTTTATTTTTATCTCGGTTGGTAAAAATATCCTTTCTTTCTCTCACACATGTCTATGTATACACACTTGCCCTTGATCCATTTGCAGGGTGTGCCGGTTAACCTACATCTTACTGTAAGTGGTTTGATTGGTGGCAATGTTGAAACTTTGCAACACTGGTCTTGCTGTCTGGGTTATAGAAAGTAAGATGCATGAATAATAAAGTGTGTAATAATATAATTAAATCACATTTATGGAATGTTCTTTGTTTTGCAAATTAAAATGTACAAACAGCAGAATCCTTTTGTCTTTATTAAACAGTTTTCTGAACTGCCTCAACTTGAAACATGTACATAAATATTCAAATTGGGTTTTTCACTCTGAGGCAATTTTGACATTTCCATACTATATTCTTTGGCATTTTATCTAAGGAAAATTAACCACACGTGACCAAAATATGATCCCTTATGTTTGTATTACATTTCTCCCAGTTGCATATCTCACAGGTGGGGGGGGCTTCCCAAGTTTTTCTAAATGAAAGTTTATTACTGAATTAATTAATAATAAAATGTTTATAGAAAGATAAAGTGACCGTTGTCTCACATAGTGCAGTTGGGGTCTCCACAGCTCTGTGTCTATTCTCTTGTGTGTGAGGTGTTTTAGACGCTAATGCTTTTACTCCAGCAGAACACCGTGTCAGCGCCCTGCTTAGCCTGAACTCCACTGCACGCATGGACCACCGTTGAGATGGGAGCTGCGGCAGCCTGGTGCCTGTGTCTGTAGAAATAGAACCAGTCCTGATCCAGCCCTCCTTGGCATTCACAGAAACGCCTCAGTGACGAGACTTGGCATCCCCCTTGCCATGTGGGGTCTCAGCTGTTTTGCAGGGTACAGAGGGGCCGTGTGTAGTACATCAGACTTCCCCATAGACAGGAGAACTGGACCAGAGCGGCAGGATTTTAGCCCCGGGGGTAGAATGTCGGAGACCCAGCCGGAGAAGAGTTTCCTTTAGGTTCTGTGTCTGGCTCTGCACACCACTAGGTCAGGATGAGCAAGCATATTGCCTGGCCAGGTCTCAGCTTCTTCACCTGGAGGAAGGAGAAGAATGGGAAGATTGCCTCAGAGCCTCTCTCATGGTAGCTGGGACAAACAGCCTTCCATTGCCCGGCCCCCTATTGTCTGTGTGGCCTCAGTCAGACTGTGGCCTCTCCTGGCTGTTAGCCTGATGCAGAGCAGTCTCTTGGAAGTCCAAGGAGAACATTGCAGTCCACACAGCACAGCTCGGGACCCTGGCAGAGAGAGGACTGCAGGAGTTAGAGTTATTAGCATAGGAAAAGCACCTTTGTCCACACACACACACACACACAGACACACACACACACACACACACACACACACACACTAGGCCCCTTTAACCTGTCACATATCTGCAACCTCCATATATTAGAAAAATATCTGATGAAGGGATGCCCATCATACGCCTGAGTCAAATCGTCTCTTGCCTTTGTTGAAGCAAATCCAAGGACAAGCTTTTGGCTTCGGTCGTTTTCAATTGTCAATGTGATAGTCTGAAGCTAGCCTGGGAGGGGTTGTGTGTGTAAGGCTGGCCTGCAGGCGTGTCTGTGGGGGTGTCTTGATTGCTTTAACTTCTCTGCGGAGAGAAAGCTGGCTAAGGTCTGAATCTGTATATGCTCATTTCTCTCTGCTCTTCACTATGGATGTAAGCAGCCAATTGAAGTTCCTACCCCAAGTTTCCCATGGTGGAGAACCTCATGCTGGATTTGTAAGCCCAATAACTCCCTTCTCTGGTGAAGTCACTCTTTGTTGGGGTGTTTTATCACAGCATCAGAAATGAAACTAGAATGTTATATGTGCAGTAAGGTTTGTAAATCCAGTGTTCTGTCACCGTCGTCCAGTGGGGCTCCTCTGCTGCTGTCTACCTGCGTCTCTCTGTGTCTACAAATAGGCCTGGATATGATGAAATGATAGTATTCATTTTGCCTGAGGTGACTAAATTTTTAGACTATATAAATTTAGGGTATTTTTTGTTTTAGGCTTCATGTTGCCTTAGCATTTTGTTTGCCTGAATGAGTTACACCCAGTCCATGCTTGAATCTGTTCATGAAGATTTCATGAAGTCAGCTCCTGATGAATTCACAAGTCGGAGCTGCAACTTTCTCCCTGTTTTCTTTCCTTTTTCATATTAAAAAGCGCAGAACCAGCTTTTCATACTGGTGGATGGCGGAGATAAATTGTCGTGTGCCAGCTTGTCACCTGGGAGTGACAGAATCGCGTCTACAGGAGTCTTAGGAGAAGTGACTTGAGTGAAGCAAATGGATGATTTACTGTGCAGCAGACTAGGAAGGAACTCTTTCAAAATGGTAAACATCACAGTACATCACATCCGGAAAGACTGTTTTTTTTTTCTGTGTCTGTTGGAGATTTCTGTGATTGATGTGAAGGCTGAAAATCTAAGGCACAGATTCCTTTGAAGGGGGGAGAGTCAGGGCGTGGGGATGACACCCATCCCTGGGGGCTGTCAGAGGATGTGGTCCAGCACCAGTCTTGTTCCTGTTGAGAAGTTATTTCCAGGCAGTTCCTCACTGAGTCTTTTAAACCACAGACATCCTGTTTGGAGCATCATGGAGGTATGACTTTGTCTTTAGTGTATAGCCTTTTGAGCTAAAGGGGAATTACAGGACTTGAGCGTTGGGAAAGCACGCCGTGCAGTAATGGATTGTGGGACTAGAGAATAGCCACGTATAACTAACTAAGATGAAGAAAGCTCATGGCGGCCATACAAACTCTCCCTGCTGACACCACGCAGGGATGGCACCACCAATGGGATAGCATCAAGGGGTTTGTGCTGAGCAAACAACCCAAGTAGTGAGGAAAGACAATATGAGCAAAGTAATAAATTGACCCAAAGACCTCACTCTCCTCTTTCATTCCACACTTCTGCTAGACACAGTTTCGCATGTGTATATTTATGATATCCTTGTGTGTGTGTTCGCAGATGTGTGTACAGGCACACATGATTCTATATGTGAACCTGTGTGTGGAGGCTGGACATTGATGTCAGGTATCTTCCTCAGTCATGATCCACCTTCTGTAATGTGGCGGGCGGGGTCTTTTGCTATACTGGTACCTCATCATGCTGGCAAGTATCGCTAAACTGATCACCACGGGGATTGGGATAATAGGTGAGCTACCACATCCACCCAGCCTTTACAGGGGTATGGAGGTTACAAACTCTATCTCTCGTGCTTGCAGAGCAATTAATTTACCAACTGAGACATCGTCTCAGCCCCGTGGTGGGCATTTTCGTGTGCCCAATATAATCAATAATAATTATTTCAGTTGACTGAAATCGAGGATGAGATACAGAGCATAGTGTAAAGTTGTAAGTGTACCCCCATGTTGAGGAGTGTATGATATCATTTCAGGGAAACAGATTTGGGGCCACAGGACTATCGGATGGCAAGTCTGAGCTATTAAGATCAAGGCAGATGTTGAGGGACAGTGAAGTCCATTTGCCAGCAGAGTAAGGGAAGAAGGGGTGGGAAATGGGGTCAGAGAGCCAAGGTGGACCTTGAGTTTTATTGGGTAAGATAAGAAGTTATTCAAATATTTTGAGCAGGGAAGTTTTAAAAATGACCTAATTTCACACTCTGAGAGTCACTCCTTCCTGGACATCTCTCACCTTCCATCTGCCATAATCTGATGGTCACATATTTCAGCTCCAACTAAGTGAGAAGAATCCATACAAGACTTCAAAAGTAAAGTAAAAAAAATCACTGGGGCTACCATGGAGGCTGGCTCACTCCTGCTCATCTAACTGCCTTGACTGAATTTGTTGAAGAAAATCACCCTTTTACCAGTGAATTGTATCATTTACTGAATCACTTTAGCCAAAATTAATTAACCATATATTTGTAGGTTCCTTATTGGATTTTTATTTTACAATATGGATCTCTATATCTATAAACTATACCAATAACAAGCCTTCCTAAAAGATATTGTAAAATAAGGTAGTGTTAAGAGTATGATTCTGGTCTGTCTTATTGTTCAAATCTTGAGGGGTAGTTTAGACGCTTTCTACTTCTGTATACTCTTTTGAATCAACATCTTGACGTCTATAGTTAAAAATAAGTATGTTAGAATTTGATCAAACACACTTCCTCCAAGGCTCAGGGAACATCAATAAAGGTGTGTGTGTGTGTGTGTGTGTGTGTGTGTGTGTGTGCAATGATTGTAACAGCCAGGTATGAGGGAGGGCCCAAACAAAACAGTGTCTTCTAGACATGACAGTACTGCCTCACTCGTAAACTCAAAATAGCTGTGATTGCTTGCATAAGAGCTGGATGAGACCAAGCCAGTCAACATCCTAGCACGGGTCTGGGGAGAGACTGAGGACCACATCCCACCTGCAGCTGAGGGCTATTGGGGAGGAAGAGTACGTTTTTATTATCAGTGTGGCCCCTGGTAGGTCAGCTATGCTCTAATGATGTCCCCACATCCTTGTATGTGCTGGTAGCGAAAAGTGAACTCAGCAAGTCATTAAAAAGAAATACAAAATAGGACATACAGTTTGGAGGGGTGGGATGGGAATCTGGATGGAGTTAGAGGGAAGAGTGGGAAGTGAATATGATCAAAACATGTTTTATGCAAATCTCAAATTCTCAAAGAATTCATGAAATTAT